CGTTGCTGAGCCCGTTTCGTTCAAAAGGAAGTGTTGTTTGTAGAAACTTAGCAGCGTACATAAAATTGATCCCAGATAAACAACCGATTGTCGTAAGTTACACAACATTGGCTCATTTTTGCAATTCGGAGATTTCGTAAAACGTTACCGCTACGCCGGTAGCAATTTATTTGGTCCGGTTATACGTAATTATGTTCGCTGCTCATCCACTTCACTTATACGCTAATGCATCTTCTATTAATGCATCTATAAAATGCCTACACAACGAGCGCGATTATATTCAACCGCACAAATACTGCTTAGAATGATGAATTAATTTTCAAAAACAGTTGTTATCAACGCGACGTTTATTTTCGAAAAGCAATATATTTTGACAATAACTTCAAACGCTTACACATTGAATTCAATGCTTATTTAAATTTTCTTCTCAAATATTATTGAAACAAATACTAGTAATTTCGCATGTTGCAGATGATTGCATGAATAATATACATATATGTATATATATATATCTATATAAACATCTATATATATGTATATATACGAATATATACATATATACGAATAAGTAAGAAAATTATATTCAATCATGATTGAATCTTTTATACCCATCACTGTCATCCCAAAAAAAGAAGAAAAAGAACTAAATTAGTTTGAATAGTTTGAAACATTGGGCGGGGACGGCTGATTTTTTCTATTTTCAGAATAAAAATTTTAAACTTATACGGTGTGTATGCTGTACTTTACAAGTAAAAAGCAAAAAGCCCAGAAAGCAAAAGTGTTCACAATTTTCGTTATATAGATGTGTGGACGTTGTAGGCGTGTTCTTTGAAAATTTTGGGCATTTTCAAACACTGTTACAAGTTTGTACTTGCGGATATCTTTATTTCTGCGAACGCAAGAATAGCTACCACAAATACTACACGATCGCGCAGACGAACAGATGGACAGCCGATGATGCGGACATACTTAGGTGCATTCCGAATTTGAAATTGACCAAGAATTTATAAGTAATAAGCAAAAAAACATTTTTTTAATACCAAATGTCGACTCACTTTTCGCCATACCGTAGGCGTGTCCTTCCACAACTTTCAATCAAAAGCCTGCCTACAAGAACTTTCAATGTTTCCGCCAAATGTGAAGCCAATGGCTTCGTTTTTGCGTCGAGGAGAATGCTTACAGCTGACATTAGAAAGGCGGACAGACAGACATGCTTAAATCGACACCGAATTTGATGCAGATCAAGAATATATATGCTCTGTGGGATCTCTGAAGTTTCCTTCTGGGCGTTGCAAACATTTTGACTAAATGTAGATACCCCCCATCCTTCGGGGAAAGGTGTAAAAATGTAGATACAAAAAATGCTTGGTCTTAGCTAAGAAGATTTACTTTTAGCAAAATTAAGAAATTTAACTTCAAATTTTGTTAAATTTCCTTCCTAAAAAAAAAACCGGATCTCTCCTATTAGATAAAAATCATAAGAGAGAGAGTTTAATAAAGTCAATTTTGATTAAATTGTTTAAAGGAATATTTTTCCTTAGGTAACATCAACGAGGTAAGAAAGTGACATTTGGCTGTGCCCGCTCAAAGAAAATATAAGAAAAAACGAAATTTTATTTCTCTTTCGATTTTTCTACAAGTTTTGTAGAATCATTTATGGTTGGTTGCATTACATATTGTGGAAACATTATTTACTTCTGATTTTGATTTTCGAAAGAAAAATATTCTTAGTTTATATACCAATGATATTGGGGTGTTCCACATCAACCTTCCCACAAGAACTTCAAATGCCTTTCTTAAATTTGAAACTGACATCATCATTTTGAATCGAGAAAATTTCGATTTAACAAGACAGACGGACAGACTTACACATATCTATCCAGATTTTGTTACTAAGCATATATGTACTGTATGGAGCTTCTGAAGTTTTTTCGCTGAATACTGCAAACGTTTCGATAAAACGAACATCGTTGCTGTGCATAAAAAGATATTATGTCCGTCTTTGAGACTACATCTTTTGTAAGCTTCAGGCTAGAGTTACACGAATTTGCAAAATATTTTACTTCAATCTCAAATCGTAAATAATTACACCAAGAAGTAAAATTGAAAACCAAAGTTTTCCATTTCCGTTTATTTAAATTTTCAAGACGAGAGAAAATTCTTAAATTTTCTTTTATTTTCATGCTTTCTATTCTAACTGCGGCGACATTGAAAACTCAGGAGATGCCCTTATTCATAATATGGGATAAACGCCTAAAAAACTAAGCAACAAAGTTTACATATAGTCCTGAAAAGAGGACTTTATCCCTACAACAATGTCTCTTTGATAACTAAGATGTTATTTATTTGATTTTTCCTTAAACAGTTCAGTTCATTATTGAAAGATAAATTTAACAGTATAAGCATAACCTAAAGAATGTTATCTTATTATGGATGTTGCAATTGATATACATGGATGGATGGACAAATATATAATAAATGAATAAATATATATAATTACAAATATATAAAATGTATTATTATACTGCATTAATCGCAATAATGCTGATGGATGAAGTTGATGTTGTTTATTTTATTAAAACGCTACGCTTATTTCTTTTCTGCTTTCGTTTACATATACATACATAAACGTTCATATAATTGTCTTAATTGTTCCCCTTTCTTCTTTCTTTTTTAGGTTTTTCTTTTTAACAACATAAAGACGTATTATTGTTTGGTAAGTGAATGAAATCATCGTTATTACTTATATACATACTCTTATACTAAATATCGATGTATGTACGCAGGAGTAGTTGAGAGGTTACTGAACTTTCGCTATTATCATCATCATGTTTTCTGGGCTATTGTTTCTCTTGTGGTATCGAATTTTTTTTTTTTTTTTTTTTTTAATTGTTTACTAAACTACGTAAGCATTTTATCCATTTACATTTACAATTAGTACAAATATGCGCATATACATATATAAGCTTTCGTTTTCAGTCATATTTAATGAAATTTCCATATTAAGCTTCTTGTATATTCTTTATAGTTTTGTCCGAAGGATGCAAATTGTTAAGACCAACTTTAAAATTTTACGCTTGCTCAATGGAAAAGCCACGTCCAAATCGGGTATAAATCAAGTAATTTAAGCATGCTTCGAAGAAAATAATTTCTTCTTCTTGCATGTGCCAATAATAATTACCTTCTTTCCGGCTCCCATGCCGGACAAAGATCGAGGTCCACGACCTATGCACATTTTACATATGTACATAATGAAAAAAAAAAAATGGAAAAAAGGCCTATTTCATTGTTAAGATACATGGAAAAAAAGAAAAAACGACGTCGCTAGTTCATAGAAGGACCTTGTGTGCAGATAATGCTTCAAGCGAAAGCGTTTTCATAACTAATTTGTAAAGACTTTAATGAAATAATTTTAAGTTTCACGATACTTCTTTTTTAGGGCTTCAAAGCTTTCGCCGGCTTTGATTAACATTTAGGGAGGCGAGACAGATCGCCCATAATCTGAGCATTAAACATTCAAAAGCAACCTTTGAACTTTAAACCAATTTGTTTTTTTAGTACGAATTTATGCAGTTTTTCTAAAGCGTTATATGTAGATCGCAAATATACATTATAGAACGAACCCTATGCAACTACCATTTGAACTTAGCATTATTAGAACACAAATTTGTTAAGTTCGGACCATAAGATACCTTCTTTTACATAAAACAAAACTTATTCTCTTTTTACAAGATAAACACGTTTCCAAAAATTCATGTAAAAGAATTCGCGCAAAAAAGATATCGGTTAAATGCAAAAATAGTAGGTTCGTCCCAGGTCCAACAAGAGCAACTAGAAAACGCGATAAACAATATTAAAAAAATTCTTGGAAAAGTTCACTTAAGAATTTATTTTAATTCATTAAATATATTACAAAAAATAGATTACACTTTGAAAAGCCCAACTAAATTGGGTCTCTACTCGATTCACAATTCGGAGAATTCCACTCTTATAATCGGCTTAATCTAACTAGATTGTGAAGTTACAATGCGTATTTGTGGTGAAAAATTAAATATATCCAAGTTTTCAAGTGTTGCATGTAGGTGATAGATGTAGCAAAAGATATCCTGAATTGTAAACACATTACCCATCACAGTGGCGGGTCACACAGTTACCCATCATTTTTTGTGTGAAAACTTCAATCGACAAATATTATTGCAGACTTTTACATCAACACCTGCAAAGTATTGCAAGGTAAAGATTTCATTGAGATAATTTCAGAGAATTAATAAAGAAATAAATACAAAATTAGCAATCATTCCTAGAAATCTCGCAGACCTCGCCATTAAACGCCTTCGTGGAGAATGAAATATGTAGCAAAAAGGAACAGAAACAATTTAAATGGAAACTGAATATAATAACTTAAAAACTTGCTGTGGAGGGCTATAATAGTTCGGCAAGAACTAAGAGCGCCCACATTAACGAAGAAGAACAATTCACGGATACCGTAATATTAGCAATAAATAAATTCATTTTATAAGTAATTATAATTAATTAGTGTAACGTTATTATTATTTATAATGTATTAAATCTATAAAACAAATCCCGCATGAAAAACTTCTCGCATGCAATTCAAAACCGAGTTCAAAATAAAATTTCTTAACTGCTTTTAGCGCACAAGTATTTACTCTCACACTCATCTTATGAATTTCCTTGGATATCATAAATTCTAACCCTAAATAAATTTTTTTTTAATTGCACTTCAATTAATATGATTTTTAGAAAATTATATCAATTACGCAGCGAACTTTCGTTTGTTGATTTCTTGAATAGAAGAAGAAGAGAAGAAAATTGTTTTAATACATTATATAACACTCTGTCTCCTAGGAAATTGACTAACATCAAATAAATAACAAAATTTTCTGTTATTAATTTGCTTAACATCAGTAGAAGAAGAAGCTGTTCTCCCATAATAGGCAGCTGTTCTTCATATTTGTACATCTGTTTACAAAACAAAAAAAAAAAGAAATAAGCAAACAAGAACAAGACATCTTTTAACTTAAATTAAATTAAAAATTTCAACCACATCTAATCTTTCATCACAGCCCAAAAAGAAAAAAGTTAGAAATCGCTTTACTAGGCCAAGCATGTTAAAAAAAAGTAATCGATTTTATAAGTATGTAGCTGTAATCGCCGGCCTATTAATTTTGGATATATTGGGTGTTTTCGCGTATTTCTTTGAATTAGATTATGAAAAATTGTTTCGCTATCCAATAGAAGGTGATATTGTCAGTTATGTTAGAGCTCGAAAGCAAAATATTAAAGCAAAGGATGAGACATTCCAAATGCCGCAACCAATTAATTACTATAATTTTACATTCATTCACCAACGTAAATGTGATGGTGTGGTCGAGTCGAGGTAAGGAAATTTTATAAATCGTAAAGCATTTAAAATAAGCCAACGAACGTCTTTACGATGGCAAATGAGTAATATATAATTCCTATTAAAGAGACTTTTGTTTACATTTGTCAAGGGAAAAAATATTTTTATTCTTAAATATTTTTCTGGTAAATGTAAACAAAAACAACGAGTGTTATTTTTTGTTGACATGAAATAACAAGTTAGGACTTAACGAAACTTGAAATTCCAAATTGTATTTCTATATTGAAATGGAGCAGCAGACCACAATTGATAATACTCGTTAAATCAGCTTTGCTAAATATTCAAAAGAGGGATGCAATACGTCGTACATGGGGATTTGAACAGCGTTTCTCCGATGTTAATATAAGACGTGCGTTTATTTTGGGAGCAAGTTTAGATCAGCAGCTGATGGAAGATATAGCATCAGAAGCTCATCAGTATCGTGATATAATACAGGCAGATTTTATAGATAGTTACTACAACAATACTATTAAAACAATGATGGCTATTCGCTGGGTGATGGATCATTGTCATCGTGCCCATTACTACCTTTTTGTTGATGATGATTATTATGTGTCGTTGAAAAATGTATTGCGTTTTGTTGCCTATCCAGCCCTTTATCCTGAAAATGCCATGACTCTAAATAGCAGATGGGAGTACAAAGCGCAAAACGAACGTTTATTTGCCGGCTTTGTTTTTCGTTCACGCCCCTTGCGTCAAAAATTCAGCAAATGGTATGTTAGCTTAAAGGAATATCCTTATAATAAATGGCCGCCTTATGTAACAGCAGGCGCTTTTGTATTGTCGCGTGATGCCCTTGTAAATCTATACTATGCTAGTCAATATACTAAACATTTTCGTTTTGACGACATATATCTTGGTTTGGTGGCGCTAAAAGCAAATATTCCACTAACACATTGTGGGCAGTTTTACTTTCGGCGACCACCCTATAACGGGCCCAAGAGTTATCGCTTTATAGTGGCATCACATGGTTTTAATGAGCCGCTCGAATTGGAACGTATTTGGAATGAGTGTCGATCCGCGAACTATGCCTGACAGGCAATGCGTAAACGTTGCAAATACAAAAAAAAATTCTTAGGTTAAAACTCGAGAAATTATGATAAAGTGTCTTTATTGAATTAAGCAAACTTAAATTTGTTCATAATTGAGTTAAAAGATTTTTTAAAGATTATTAATAATATTGAAAATAACATATTCTTTCATTTTCGAATTAAATAGTTCACAATTAATGCTTTTGAAAGAAGAGAGATAGTACAAACGGGGACTTTAAGATTTCCAAATTATATATAATAACAATCAACCACAACTAAAACTAAAGAGGAGAGAAACTGAAGAATCTGAGCTCAGCTAAAAATGGGCAAAAGTATAAAATTTTTGTATGTATCATGACTTTATACTATGCAAAGAAATGCTTGTGTACACGAGAAACCAACTAGACATAATTATGCAAGTGTAAGGAAAAAGGCTATGACCGTTCTACGTCGACTTGTAGACATTAAATTTATTGAGTTGGTACGGGACGATTTTGTGGAGCTAAACGGCTTACAAAATTTACTCCAGTCCGCAAAAATTTCCCCACCATTGGTGGCGAGCGGTTGGCCAAAGTTTCCGTGGCCATACGAAGCTCAGCAAATGCATTACGCGTATAAGGATTGCGTCGTGAACTATAGCGCATAACCAAGAAATGATAATAGACAATGGGTGTCATTAGTCCAGCACGTCCTCTAAAAGGAAAAACAAAAACGTAAGCAATTTAATGAAGCTTTAGAAAACTGAAACTTACGTGAATGTTAAAATCACTGCTAACGGCATAATGAATATTTCAGAAAACGCTATAGCTTTCAAAATATTAGCTGCCTGAAATTCTACAAGAGATATTAAAAATCTGGCACCCCACCACGAATTTTGGCCAATGACCTAAAAAGAAAAATACAGGAAAATAAAATGTAAATTTACAATCAGTTTTACAATTTTTAAAAAACCAATTAAACAGTAGTACTTACATCCAGCAATTTCAAAGAATAACTAGAAACTTGCAAAACGGCGAATAATACTATAGGTACTACTATTAAAAATGTTGGCTGCACATTGAAGAATATTAACGAGAATATTAAATAATGACAAGAGTCCTCCACAAATAATCGTGCCAGAAATTCACGCGATAACGTAAACGCTGGTAAACGTTGATGCAAACGTAAAGCCGACACAGCAGCATTAGCTAATAAAACTTTGTTGAAAGCACTTTGTTGATTACTGTGGAATAAAGGCAAGTTATATAAAATTTAGGAAATTTAGAGCCGAAACATGGAAATGGAATTTACCCAAATATAGGAAATATATAAAACAGTGCAAAGAATATAGCCAATATACGCAACGCCCACATGGCAGAATCGACCTTATGCGCTTTGAAATGATCAATCATTTTGGCGGGAACATTCTGGTATGCTTGTGATTGCTCCGAAGGAGGAGGAGGAGGAGGTGATGGCATCGACTCGGACGAGTTGAACGGTGCCGAACTGTCAGCATTATTTTCACGATTGCTGCCAATTTCGTCACTCATTTTTACCGGAATGATGAGAGAACTGAAATTAAAAAAAAAAAATTACAGTTGATTTTAAGCAAATCACGTTCACTATCTATCTCTAGAGGGCTCATAACCAGCATCTATATTCAGGGTTCTGTCCATATTTTCTTTTATATCATTCCCACACAGTTTACATACATACATAAATGCGGTCATACACGCTTGATAAGCCTTAGATTGAAACTTTTTTTGCCGATTCCTATAAGAAATGATTGATTGGAATTTCAGTGCTTATGAGTGCTTATGAGATTATTTAAAACTATGGATTGCTGATCCAGTAAAGACTGAATATAAACTGAGATCTGCAAAAACAGAATTAAACAACAAATCCATAGAAACACAAATTGTTTCTGAACAGTGAAGCAATTTACATTAAATTAATGTTCATAAGTGATTACTTTTTAACAATTTAATGACTGCAAAGATGGACTTTGACCTAGGCAGGTCGATTAAAAACCTGTTAAACTTCGTCTCGCTTAAAAATAACATATGCTTTACTTTGTCTAAGATGGTTGAAGGACTAAGGTCGTAGATAATGCAACAAGCAAATGAAAGTTTTGCTCATCTAAGCAAAGAAAAAGAGTATAACGCATGTTAAAATTTACGTTAGTTCAACTAGTTTTATTATTCATTTTTTCATTATTAAGATGTTCCCTATATAACGTTTCTACTACTTATAGATTTTTTATAGGGCCCCTGATGAGTAATACAGGTTTATATTGAACAAATATATGAATTCCCAAATGTCGGCTTATACGACTTTCTTGCTACTCAGGTAAAGATATAAATAACGCAAATTTAAAAACTATACAAGCCAAAACGTTACTTCATACGAGTGCAATATTTCTTTGCCAAAAGCTAAGGTAGCCATTTTTTTGGAATTTAAAAGAGTAAAGTCAAATTGTAGCATCGTTCTTGACCCAGATATATCCAACGTTTGAGAATTTAATTCTAAAATTCTTTTGAGTTAGAGAATAGACAAATGTTTCGATGGAATTAGTTGAGGTTAATTAATAACTTCACCTTAAATTTTAGGTATGGAAAACGTTTCAGTTGTTACGATGCAAAGCTCAATTCTTTTTTTATTTCGAGGCTTGCAGAAAAAATTGACCGAAATTATTTTTTATTTAGATTGTAACAAATATAAAGCAATCAGAATACTTCCGCACGTAGAAAAAAGTGCTTTATCATTTGGCATATATATATATTCACACAAACACATAATTACAGATAATCAGTGGTGGGAATAATTTTACAAATCCTTGCCTTCAATCATAAAGTTCGAAGCAATAACTACTTACTTTTATTATGCGATAAGTATTTAACAAATTATTAAAGAATTATTTTTATTTTCTATTATTTTCTGCGAACAAATATAATTTTTTCACTAAATTGTCAATTGTAAGGGGAAAAAATTTTAGATATAAAAAACCATCTGACAATTGGAAGGAAATGAGTTTATGTGTTGAACTGAAATGAAATTGAAACATTCTTTTAACCCGTAACATATAACTGTGACAAGCCTATCTGAAATACAAATAACAGAGAGAACTAATATAATAAAATTGCTATTCCATTAACAGTCACTGAAAGGCTTGTCCTTTTATTCCTGTTACTTATATTCAACGAAGTTCTGTTAAAGACTTTTTTGTTGACATTATGCTATATCAAAAGTCTAGGAACAGGAATATTTCTAATTAAAAACAATTTATATTGTGCTCATAATTAATTTATGTTTAATATAGCATTTTTGCATAATTCTGTGCAATTTTCAGTACTACGCCTTATTTATTTTATATGGTTACTCAGTATACATTCGAGGCTGCAATGTAATTACAGTAAATAAATCAATGGGCACATACACATAAATAATTTAAAATTTATCCTTAGCTCTAGCTTAAGCAGTTAAGCAGTTTAGATTTGTCTATTGTTTGTGCGATTGGCGTACTCTAAATTTTTTGGATTGTTGGGTGGAGATGGACTAAGCCAATGGATTTGTTACTTACAAGTCCAGATAATAAAATGTCGTAATTTTCTTCAGAAATATGTATAAAACGCGACAAAAAAAAGAGAGGGGTTTACAACTAAGGCCGGTATGATTGTAGCTATGACTAAATTGACATGCCGACGGGGCATGAGTTTCGAATTTCGAATTTGTGCTCAATAAGACGCTTAGCAAACAGTCCAGTAAGCGTCGCGCGCGACCAATTCTTTACCCTATTTTCAAAAAAATGATAATTCTTTACCCTATTTTCTAAAAAATGATAATTCTTTACCCTATTTTCTAAAAAATGACTTGTACATCACATATTATCCAAAACGTTTGTTTGTAAGTTGATTGAAAACATAATCTATTTATAATGTTTTAGATAGACTTTCTGGTTAGTTCGTTTCAGTTCAGAGTTGCATTTTTGCTATGCAATTGTTAATTTTCATTATTTTGTTTAACTCTTCTTTTTGTGCTATGTGGAAGTTCGGACACAATAAAAATAAAAGCTGATTATGGAAGACGAGGATTTATCTTTATCGCCGGGTACATTAGCCATTTTGAATGAATTTCTTAAGGAAAAAGCTGATCGTGAACGTGCAGAGCTCGAAAAAATAAAAAACAAAAATTATAAAGATTTACATTTTCAAGAAGATTGGGTAAGCAAAAGAAGCTTGATTAATAAGCAAAACAGAGTTAATATTCCAGTTCCTTCAATCACTAGCAATTGAGCCAATTTTGGTATAGCTGTGAAACTACAGATGTCTTCGGAAAGGTAGTTAAACAACTGCTTCAAGCAGCGGACGATGCTTCTTTCCATATAGCTCTATTATCTTGTCCCTCTTTATATAAATCAGTCAAAGAGATTCATGATACGGGTACATTATACTTTTTGTTTTGGTTTTTGAAAGAATTTAATCAATGTTTTCCTTCTATTTCCAGTGCAAATCTTTGAGTATGATAAACGCTTTGCCGCTTTTGGGGAAGATTTTGTTTTTTATGATTTTAATGAGGGATGTGAAGCTAATAATTTAAAAAAATTTTCTCATCAATACGATTTGATAATAGCCGATCCTCCGTTCCTCTCAGAAGAGTGCATAGTCAATATGTGCAAAATCATCGAGTTTCTCTTAAAACCTTCTGGGAAGGTTATTTTTTGTTCGGGTGTTTTAGTGGAACCTTGGCTATGCTCTTATCTACCCGTTAAAAAGTGCAAATATCAACCACAACACGAGCGCAACTTGGGCAACGAATTCGCTTCTTATGCTAATTTTGATTTAGACCATTATATTATAAGGTGACTGTCTTAAGAAATGAACAAAAGGTTTTTTCTTTTTGCAGGCTAAAGTTTAAATGTAATAGGTTTACTAAACATTAACAAACATTTATTTGGAGATATCGGCTTCTTTACGTTGTTGCACCAATTCGCGCAAGACGTCTTCTTGTTCTTTTAACGACTTCAAGAGGAATTCTTTTTTCTGGTTTAACAATTCCAAGGCTTTGTCACATTTATCCTGACGAGCCTTAAGCTCCGAACGCATGTCCTGAACGTTAGTTAAAACAAACATTCGCCCCACAGATATGTACACTCTAAAATGCAGAAAGATCAGTCGATTAATAATTCTCTTCCTTGAATTCGAAGCCAAGAGCAGAATTACCTAGTGTTATCTGTTAAATCACTGGTGCCCTTCTCTGTTAGTTTGTATTTTTGTTTACCAGTCTTCACCATATCACATTTCATGTCGATCATATTCATCTTTTTAGTCGTTTCTATTTTGGTTACCTGCATCTCAGTGAAAGCCTAGAGTGTGAATATAAGAATCGGAAGGGCCTTTTAATATTTGTAATTGCTTACAATTTATTCTCATTTTCAAACGCTTTGGAGTCATGGAATCAATAACTAAATGATAAGCGCAACTTCAGTGTGTAAACAAATGACACGTGCATAAGCTCCCCAATACACATTACCTTGAAAAAAAAAAAGATTTATGAAGGCTTCCACTAACTAGAAGCCGAGCTTAAGCCCACTTGGACTAAGTGTACATATAGTTTGGATAGAATTGCTGCTTCAAACATCTTATTTCTTTTTAGGATATGAAACAAGCGTGTCCACATTAACGAACATGTATAACATTTCAGTTGTTATATGCAGTTGTCAGATTAAAACAACTTGATTTTATGATATGACTTTAGGTTTAGTTAGCAGTGCCACAGAACAGTCAACGCAATAGAAACATACAACAAAATTGCGACATTTTTCATCATTTTCTGCTTTTAATGGTCCTCCGCGTCGTATATTTTTTTACCTTTTTTAATTCCAAATCCATTTGTTCCATTTGTTCTAATTGATTTAATACAATCCTCCAAATTTATTTAACAATTTTAGAACAATAGCTATTGTATTTCTTTTACTAGGGAAATTTTCTTTTTGCACCAAATAAGATAAATAATGTCTAAATATCTGCATGAAGCAATGTTATTAATGTATTAGAGTGAATACAGAACACTGTTCAATTCACTATTGTGAACTGCTTTTGCTTCTTCTTGGCACGGCAGGGCTGCCAAAATTTGTATTCGACTAAAATAAAATTTGAGGTAATGAATCCTGCTAACCGGTTCGTTTGTAATGTCGAACAGTGTCTACAACTATGTTAGAAGCGCATTAGTATTTATATAATTGATCAAAGTATGAAGGCTTGTGAGAAGAGTACGTATTTACTAGCGTGAGCGTATAAAAATAAAATTCTAATTTTAAACGTGAACTTCACAACGCAAGCATTGTGTTTCGTACCCATCGTGCAACAAATGCAAGCATGCGCTTTTGTGAATAACATTCCTGTTAAGAAAACATTATTTTTAGCTTACTGTAAGGATTTGTGGCTGTAAATCTAGAATCGTGTGTGTTTTCTTGCTGTGAAAGCAGTACCGTGTGTGTTTGTTGTTGAAAATTTTAATTTTTGTTTACACTTTCGTGCACGTGCTATTGTTTACAGTGTAAACATTTTTTCGATATAGAAAGAGACGGCAATATACCTCAATTTAATTTTTCCGCTCTAATTTTAATTGAGTGGTAGCAACACTACCATATTGCTTTACAGCAAAACGTAAACAAAAACATATGGTTTTAGAACCAAAAATAAAGATATTAACGTAAACGTAAACAAGAAATTTATAAAAAATAAGAAAGTTTATATAAAAGTATACAAGCCTGTTTATTGATTAGAGATAAAGAAGATGGATTTGATGTACATAGATATATATATTAATTGATTCATAACTTCGAAACTACCATTAGTCACTCTCTAAAAAACCAGTTTGACGAACATATTTCCACTTTAAAATAAATGGTCTCTATTGCTTCTTTTTCATTTTTCAAAAAGTAATGCATAGTTTAAATCCAGATTGCAAATTAGATAACAAAAAAAAGTGTACCCTAGTGTAAGGCAATCATAAATTAGATAAATAATTTCAAAAATTTAAAATAAATTTGTTCTTTTGTCTGTTTATTTTATTTCTTTGTACACATGCTGTGAGGCAACTCTTTATCGTGGTTCTGGGGCTGGAGCTATCTCATCGGGCACTAGGTATGCCACACAAGAAAGTTTATTTTTTAGGGAAAACTGGCTCGTTTTGTTTCATTGGGGTTTTTTTTTTTTGACTTTGTGACTTTCTTATCTACTAATAAGTTAGTTTAACTGAAAAAAAGAAGAAAATAAAAGGATTTCGCGTGAAGGCGTGTTTGCCGGTTGGCTACCCAGCGTGCAAGAGAAAGACCAAGCTAGAAATTGTCGGTCTCTCAACTCTGACGATGATGGAAGTCACCTCATTCGGACTTCCTGCAAGTTTGTCTTTGACAACCTTACCATGAAAACAGCTGTCTTCTGATTGGGTTTCCTCAAACCAGGCGGCGGTCAACTTAATATAACAATTAAATTTTAACTCAAACGTAAACGTAGCAGTCTCCCTTCCGACACGAAGGACATGTGTGATAAAAACGAGAGCGACTTTGACTCTTCACAATATAAAACCATATGATTCGTCAATTCCCATAAAGTTTTGTAAAATGTTTGCAAAGTAGAAGTGCCATCCAAAAATAGGAATAACGCCTTATTGTGCCAGCCCCTAACGGGGACTGTTCAGCGTTTTTACATCACAACTCAAAAAGGGCTTAAAAGAATATTTTTTTTGACTTTGAGCAAAAAGACAGCGTTAATGCAAATTCGACAATTGTTTCTTTCGAAATGTGTGGTATGTAACGAAAACATGCGCTTAGTGGTTGCGTACATAGTTTGATTCACTTCACTCCAATTGCCCAAATCACTAAAACACGATCAACTCAATTTAACCTTGCTTAGAGCTGTGTCAACAATAGTTTTATAAAACTTTGGCTATCGGCTATCAAGTATTAGGAAGCCAGATTTCTAGCTGGAAGTATATAACTTTCTAAAAGACTGTCGAGCTGTGGTTAATTTTTAAGGGTGTAAGTTTTCAGTCTGCCCTAATCCTAATGATTAATATTTAAGATAATTAAATAAGTGAGCAGATTAAAATGTGGAATATATAGATTAAAATATATTTTTTTTAAAGAGTACTAACATAAAAACATCAACAATTTTTTACATTAGCCAAAGATAGAAAAAAACAATTAACAATTTTTTTTTGTAGAATATCACCAGTCACAAACATTGACAATAATTTGACGGACGACTAAAATTAAAAAACTAACTTAAGAAATCTTTTACTTCTTTGTTGATCAGTTTTCAGACATAACGCATAAAATGGGAGCATTAAAGATATATGTAGGGCCTCTGTCAACAACGAATTCATTGGGCGAATCATCAAAAGTCACGTATTCATCTGAAAAGGATTAGGAAAATCCAAAAGATTACTTATAATAGACTGCGATAGCGACAAAACTTATGAAAGACAAAAAAAAAAAATATACAAAAGCCCTCTTCCTCGAAGGCTAAAGACGTTTGCTTTACCTAAGAAATAAAAAAATTATCGCTTAAGAGTAGCAGGAGGTAGAGAAATCAATTCTTGGATCAAACCACGTCACTGTACCAAATTTCATTAAATTATTTCACAAATTGCGCTCTGTAGCTTGAACAGAAATTTACATGGAAAGGTATCAGACAGACAGACAGTGTTAGATCAATTCAGATTAATGATTCTGAATCGATCGTGGTTGGGTGGGTTTATCTCAAGCTCTTCTGCGTGTTACATACACCAGCACTCGTTTAATCTACCTTGTACCACAAGTAGTGTAGGGTACAATAAATGATGGTTAAAAGTAATAAAGTTTATAAACCGCTTATAAATCTGATAAAAGGGAAGAAAAATATAATGGAACAATGCAGACTACAGTTAAAAAAGCAGAGAAGTTTCGAGTTCCTGTATAGTAGTGTATATATATAGACACTTCACCATTTCCAAATTCTGAATCGATGTAAGCATGTTAGACTTGTTTGGCTGCGTGTAATG